GAGTTTTTTGTATGAATAATTCAGTCGATAAGACAGTTTGACATTAGCGATTGACGAAGTTTTTATTTACGCGTATTTACCGGTATTTACATTCATTTCCAGTATTGACAAGTATTTACACGTATTTACACGTATTGACATTTATTTTGTGTATTGAATCGTATTTTTTTAGCTTTTTGGCTTGTTCTTTCCCCCTAGACTCAAGGTATAATGAAAATACACAGAAATGTGATAGTTCGCTGTACTAGAGCTACTATTCACAAGGTCGATCGAGTATTCTGTCTGTGTTTTTTCGAAAGGGCATCTGAAGACCTACAAACTGAGCGATTTTAATCAAAATCGTAGAATTTGAACTCGAGTTACAACGTACAAATCAAGTTGTCTTGAAGTTTCTATACAAATTCTTAGGAAAAAACTCATTTACAAGAAAAATAATTTTCCTGGACGAATTTTCCAAAAAGAAAAATATAGTTTACGTGGATTGGGCTCGGGAATCTGGAAAAATAGGTTTCAAGTTAGCTGATACCTTACTTGAGTTATGCGTGGTACAAACAAACAAACAAACAAACCGAAAACGATTCTAAAGCTTGATTATACATCAAGCAAAAACGTGATATTGCAACGGAGTTGATCGATCCCATTTTTTCATTTCTATGTAATTCTCCTGAGTCAGGCCGGTTTTGCGATGGTTTTTCGGACCCAATTTCGGATTAAAATCTCTTCATGAACACCATGCTCATAGCTCGCTGTATGCACATATTGGTGTAAATGTACACACAAAAAAAAAACACAGAGTATTGTTCAGCGCTGCTGCCATCCAGAGCATATTAAAATATCTTGCTGAGAATGCGTCGTCCGTCGCATGCGAAGGTACGTAGCAGTTTATACATCACAGCGAACAACAATACATGCATTGTTCTCTATTCAATCGTTTGAATGTTTTGAGTCACCTAATCGTGAAGAGAACAATGGATTCATTCTTGTTCGCTGTGATGTATAAACTGCTACGTACGTTCGCATGCGACGGACGACGCATTCTCAGCAAGATATTTTAATATTCTGTGGATGGCAGCAGCGCTGAGCAATACTCTGAAAAAACATGTATTTGTATTAATAAAGTGTCCCATACATTGTTATTTGTAAATTTGACAGTTTATAGATGCGACACTTTGTGGTAGATTTTACTTGTTGTGTGGAAAAACTATGTGCCTACCACATAACCTAAAAAATCTACTATTTTTATTTTTTGTGTGTAGGTCTTGTAATAAATAAATAAATAGCTGCATGAAATAAAATGTCTTCCATCCGTAAGATGAACTTTTCCGCACTGTGATCCACGTTGCATTTATCACATAGCTTTTGGTGTGAATTTGAATTCCCGACGATTTGAAAACGACGATTTTTGGTTCAAAAACGAAAATTTTGTATGAGAGGTACCGCTAATTTTTTTCACTGAAATTTCTTCAAACCTTCAAAATGCTAATTTTTGGTAAAAATAATAACCTGTGCAAAATTTCACCTCCATGGATTCCATACAAAAATTCAAATTTTGTGTGACTTCTGTATGAACATTGTGTTGAATATGATTTGTATCGCAAAACCAATATTTTAGATTCGGTTTTCTATGTTCGTCATAAGGTAAACAAACAAAACACCAATTATTATTGATTTCTGAAAATGTTTCCATATATTTTCCAAATCCTAAAAAAACGTCAATTTGTACGAATGTCATGCAGTGAGTTCAAACTTTCTGACGGCACTGTACATTTTTGAGTTAGAAACGAATACTAAAGTTTGTCGATTGGTTAATGATAGGAAGAAAACACTCAACCGTTATCACTCATTGATTGCTATTGCTAGAAAAGAAACAATAAATACCACAGCAAACACACGCCATCGGTCAGTTTCAAACTGAATGTGATAGTAATACTGTTTCTAGCAGAAGTGAAATTGAAAAGAAGAAATAGTAAACTTTGGCAAATTAAAAATGTCGTCAATATTAATCGCAATATCGCTCTTGGCCACTTTAATCGTGACTGCATTTTTATACGTGAAACATGTATTTACGTATTGGAAGCGTAAGGGGATTCCTTTCAAAACTCCGTCATTTCCATTTGGAAATTTTCAAGGCTCACTTTTGCAACGGAAACCATTCGCCGAAGAACTCAGGGAGCTATACAATAGTACAACTGAACCATTCATTGGAATGTATATGTCATTACAACCGGGCCTTTTAGTTCGTGATCCCAAGATCATTAAAGATATGTGCATTAAAAGTTTTCAAAATTTCGACCATCGAGTATTCGATACAAATGTGGAATCTGATCCAATGGCCGATAATATTTTATTGCAAAAAGGTGATAAATGGAAACAAGTACGTACACAATTTTCGCCCGCATTTTCATCGGGTAAATTAAAGGGAATGTTTAATACGATCGTAAATTGTGTAAATGCATTAGAAGAACACATCAATTGTTTCGCAAATACTGACAAATCATTGGAAATGTTTGAATTATTTGGTCAATATACGACAAACGTTATTGCATCAGTTGCGTTTGGCTTAGAGGTTAACTGTATAAAGGATCCCAATGGTGAATTCCGAAGATATGCCAAGCGACTCTTTGAACCAACGGTGAAAAATATAACACGAGCTAATTTCAATATTATGATGCCAAAACTTTCAAATTTGTTGGGCTTGAGATTTGTTGACAAAGAGGTTGGTGATTTTATGATCGAAACGGTACGGCAAAATGCAGAATATCGTGAAAAGAATAATGTGATTTGTAAGGATTTGTTCCAATTGTTGATGCAATTACGAAATACTGGAAAAGTTAACGATGATGATGACGATTGGTCGGCCAAATCAAATTCTAGCGAAAAAGCAATAACACTAGAGGAAATTGCCGCGCACACATTTTTATTCCTAGTCGGAGGGCATGACAGTTCAGCGACTTCAATGGCATTTGCGTTATTCGAGTTGGCCAAGCATGCAGAGGTTCAACAAAAAGTATATGAGGAAATTGCTGACGTTCTTCAAAATCTCGATGGAAAACTAACATACGATTCACTTGCTGAGATGAAATTTTTGGAATGTTGTCTCAATGGTAAGTTGTTTCACACAATACACCTCTTGTATACATCCGTGTAAAAGTATTCTAATGAATTATTCATTTTCACAGAATCAATGAGAATGTATCCACCATTTCCTGTTGGCACTAGAACATGTTCAAAAAATTATCAAATCCCTGGAACAAATGTGATTATTGAAGAGGGTACGCAAATCTACTTCTCTGCCACCGGACTGCAATATGATGAAAAATACTATGATGAACCAACTAAATTCAAACCAGAGAGATACAGTGATGCACAAACAACAAAGAATTTCGAATCGATGCCCGGTTTTGCTTTTGGAGAAGGGACACGTAATTGTATAGGAATGCGTTTGGCAAAATTGTCATCAAAACTAACGATTGTTTTGCTATTGCAAAAATTCAGATTTGAACTGGCTGATCAACATAAAAATACTGAGGTTAAATCAGACCCAAAAGCTTCTGCGCTGTTCCCTATTAATGGCTTGAATTTTAAAGTATTCGTTCGATGATCATCTGGGACCATTGATCATTAGAAATATAGAATCAAAATTCTTTTTATATCCAATTCAAAATTATTTAATAAAAATCATGATATACTACTCAAACTGTTTTGTTTCAATTGATGCATAAATTTTGAGCAAATCTACGTTCGATTGCTGATTTTTTGTAAAAAGTAACAATGACAAAGTGTTAGTTGAAAGCAGAAAAATATTGTAAAAACAAGCATTTTTTAATGTGCAGTAATCCATTGTATGTGTTTTTTGACAATAATAGAGCTGCAGTTCTCATTACTATGTCCTGATTAGATTAATACACACCAAATCACATCATTTCAATATGCAATTAAATATAACATTCGAATGATACATACATCCTTTTGATTGGAGTGTTTTTTTTGAGTCACTTTCAATCTTACGCAAACCCGCGTCAATATCAAGAGTTAAATTTTTGAACGCTTCAATGTTCATGATTTACCAAAATTTTATGCCAGTCATAGTGACTCGCATAGAAAAAAACAAGAGTCATTTTTTTGATTTTATAGAACGGGTTTTCGATCATTGATAACCCGTTTTATTTGCGCCAAAACAACCACTATAGAACTTATATAATTATTTTGTGTATTCTGTTAACAAAAAAATATATTATTTGGTACTGGGGGCTTAGAAGTATTTTTTATTTGCAGTTGACCACGCATATTCGCGAATATTCACACATTTTCGCTAGTGAACAATAACTTAGTTTACTGTAAATATTCGCGATTGTAAATATGCTGCAATGTGATGACACCGTTTCATTTTGACAAGGTTCAATGTCAAATTATATAGTCTTGGAATATTAGTTATACACTTTTGAAGTTCTCTACCCAAATTAATTTTTAGTAAAAGAAATATAACTTTTTTTGCCTGATTTTTTTTAGAAAATTGTGAAATATTCGTCGTCATATGCTCACTGCTCAGTTCATACAAAACTGTATTCATTTAAATTTCTTTTTCAAGTTCGGATCCCCTAGATATGATTTTTACTGATAAACATGTATCAACACCAAAGTATTTGTAAATTCAGTTGATGTTATCTGTACCACGACCGAACTTTCCAATGACTTAAAAAAGTCAACAGTCATTTTATGCTGGTCACGATGATATACTGAAACTGTTTTGAGTGAGTTTTTCTGTTGTTATTGTCAATAGCTTTTATCAGCTATATTTTAAGCTATCAGCACTTCAAATGTAATAGAACCACTCAAAACTCACTATAAAAAAACACTCAAATTTTGATTTTTATCAACATGTTGCTTGAAAAGGAACAAAATTCAATAAATACAACAGAAATCACACGCCATCGCTCAGTTAAGCTATGAAAGACTACAAACAATTTGCAATAAAAGCGGAATTGAAAAGAAGAAATTGAATTTTGACAAATTAAAAATGTTATCAATATTAATCGCAATATCGCTCTTGGTCACTTTAATTGTGACTGCATTTTTATACGTGAAAAATGCATATTCGTATTGGAAGCGTAAAGGAGTTCATTTCAAATCACCCACATTTCCATTCGGAAATTTCGCCGGCTCCATCCTTCAAATGAGAGCATTTGGCGAAGATCTTGAAGATTTATACAATAGTACAACTGAACCATTCATTGGATTATATTTGTCATTACAACCGGCCCTCTTAGTTCGTGATCCCAAGATCATTAAAGATATGTGCATAAAAAGTTTCCAGAATTTCGATCATCGAATATTCGCTAATAGTGCGGCGTCTGATCCAATGGCCGATAATATTTTATTGCAAAAAGGTGATAAATGGAAACGAGCACGCACACAATTTTCGCCCGCATTTTCATCGGGTAAATTAAAGACAATGTTTGATACGATTGTAAATTGTGGAAATTCATTAGATGAGCACATTGATCGTTTTGCAAATACTGGCAAATCAGTGGAAATGCGTGAAGTATTTGCTCAATTTGCGACAAACGTTATTGCGTCGGTTGCTTTTGGCATAGACATTGACTGTATCAAAAATCCTGATTGTGAATTTCGTAAATATGGCCAACGATTTTTCGAACCAACGGTGAAAAATATAACACGAGCTAATATCAATGTTATGATGCCAAAACTTTCAAATTTGTTGGGCTTGAGATTTGTTGACAAAGAGGTTGGTGATTTTATGATCGAAACGGTACGACAAAATGCAGAATATCGTGAAAAGAATAATTTGATTCGTAAAGATTTCTTCCAATTGTTGATGCAACTACGAAATACTGGAAAAGTTAACGAGAATGATGATGATTGGTCGGCAAAATCGAATTCTGACGAAAAAGCACTTACACTAGAAGAAATTGCAGCGCAAGCATTTCTTTTCTTTGTTGGAGGCTTTGAATCGTCATCATCAACGATGTCATTTGCGTTATACGAATTGGCCAAAAACCCGGAAATTCAGCAAAAGGTGTATGAAGAAATTATTGAGAGCCTTGAAAAATACGATGGAAAATTTACATACGATTCAGTTGCTGATATGAAATATATGGACCTTTGTCTAAATGGTAACGTTTTTAACATGCATATATACTTATATGACAAGTAATCTAATCTATTTTCACAGAATCACTGAGATTGCATCCACCGTTTCCTATTGGCAGTAGAAAATGTTCAAACAATTACCAAATCCCTGGAACAAAGATGATCATTGAAGAAGGAACACCCATTTTATTTTCGGCCACTGGACTGCAATACGATGAAAAGTATTATGACGAACCGAAAAAATTCAAACCAGAGAGATATAGTGATGCACAAACAGCGAAGAACTTCGAAGAGAGTCCGAATTTTATTTTTGGAGAAGGGCCGCGTAATTGTTTGGGATTGCGATTGGGAAAATTGCAATCGAAACTCGCAATCGTTTTGTTGATGCGAAAATTTAGATTCGAATTGGACGATCAACATAAAAATACTGAGCTTAAACTAAATCCAAGGTCTACCGTTATTTTGCCTTTGAATGGTTTGAAATTCAAAGTGCTTAGGCGATGAGAGTGCATCAAAATAGATGAAATGTAATGTTGTAAGTAAACATTTAAATTGGGGTATAGCACCTTTTTCACCTTTAAAAAATGGATTCACAAAAATTACTAGGTTCAAAAGTAGAGTAGAGAAGATACTTGTAAATGTTGATTTAGTCAATTACTTTTCGAATGATTTATAATGCGTTTTCGAAGACCTCTTTGAAACTACATTTAACTCATTAAGTTTGATATTCAATTTTCTGTATTTCATTGCAAATAAAATCAGAAGTTTTAAATGCGCCAATCATTTTGTGTTTGAGTCTAGGTTTGAGTGAAAATTTAATACACTCAATAATATTATCCAGTGACGGTAAAATTTTTGTTTAACATCAATTGTGTTAACATGGTGCGGTGACTGTTAATAATGTAAATGTGAAACAAAACACGATGAATACACTTCGAATATTATTCGCCGTAGACTTATGTTTCATCTTAAATAAAGATGACGTCTTCGCATCACTTGAATTTAAAATTCAAATAGTTTCATCTTTCGTAAACAACTTTTATGTAAATCGATGGAATGAAATAAATAATTAAAATTAATAATTCGTATTTTGTAAATTTAATTCAATGTTTTCGTAACCATTCTTTCATGTATAAAAGAGTCCATGTCAAATTGTTTTTAATTAATTTTCTTATTGTGCTTCTTCTGTTTAGTCAAATATCAAATAGACTCCGGAAAACAACGATGTTCGATCAAAAATTGTTCACATTTTTTGTGGTTTGTTTCTTAATATGTGAGGTAAAGTTGATGTGCGGATTCTGAAAGAAGACAATTTTTGAAAATATTTATCTACCATTATTGATTTTTTTATAGATATTCAATGCGAATGTCAATGCTGTAGAAAATCCATCAAAAAAAGGCAAACGTATTCAATTACCACAACAAAAAACTTCTCAAGCAATAGCCAAGCAGCCAAAAACACTTGGACAAATTTTGAATGAACCGTGGTCATTTCGTAAACCATCTTCCTTTGTTCCACCGAAAGCGACAAAAACTTTTGCCGAAATTTTGGCTGAGCCTTCTTCATTTCATAAACCAAATCCAACTACAGGGCACGATACAAACTCTCAATCGGATTTTTCCAGTTCATCTAGCAGAAATGACGAATTCGCATCGGCTCGTTCACGTTTGTCTTCGTTACCAAGTTTTGGATCATCTTCTCGGTATTTTTCAGTTTCAGACTGCGATAGGAAAGAAGATCACGCCTAAATAATAACAATTCTTAATGCAAACATTTAGAAACTCAAAACACTCATCAATTTTCCAAAATAAAATATTTTATTTGATAAATTGATTGACGAAAATGTTCAGTTTTAGTTAAATCGATCTATTATTGCTGCTTTCTGATTCATAGATTTTTCATTTTTTTTTTGTGTCGGCCATAATCGGTACTTCTTTCTTTCTAGTGAAAGTATGGGTATAAATTTATGACTCATTTCACGTAATTAAATGACTTCATAAATAGTACACATATTCAACTGTTTTTATCTTTCGACAACAATATGAATACTGTATATTGAATTGGAACGATGGGAAATAAATAATTTTTATACAAATAATTATATTTTGCAAATATAATGGAAAAAATTCCGTGCTTTCTTGTGTATTGTCTTGTGAGGATTGTATATAAAATGCTCCAACAGACTACCCATGTTATTATTCAATTTTGAACTATTAAAAGTGATTCGATTCGGAAATTAGAAAGCGTATTCGCGAAAGAACGATGTTTCATCAAAAATTGTTGCCATTTTTCCTGGTTACGTTCATAATATATGAGGTAAAGTTTATGGAACACACTAGAATATTTACTAGTGTTTATTCATGTACGAAGTTGAGGAAACTTTCATTCTTTGGTGCATTGATATTATTTGCATGCAATATTATAACATTTAATTCGAATTTATGCACAGATATTTGTTATGAGTGTCAATGGGGCCGTAACGAAAGATGAGAAGGGGAAACAAAAGCAAAAAAAGACATTTGGTGATTTTTTGGCCGAACCTTCATCGTTTAAAAAGCCGGCTTCTTTTGACCCAATAAAACCAAGAAAAAAATTTGGTGACATTTCAGCCGAACCGTCTTCGTTTAGAAAACCGGTTTCCTTCGAACTAAGACCGAAAAAAACATTTGGAGAAACTTTAGCCGAACCGTCATCATTTCACAAATCCTCTTCTTTTGTTCCATCGAAACCGATTAAAACATTTGGCGATATTTTGACTGAAACCGGTGACTCATTCCATAGGCCAAGTCCAACTGAAGATTCACAAATAAACGATTCATTTGGATGGCCTTTGGGGTTGCCATCTTTATCACATATCGCGAGGTCTAGATCTCATCATTCATTGACACAATCTGAGCTCTCAGACGAGTTTGCATCTGCTCGCACGCATTTATCTTCTCTACCAAGATCCGGGTCAGAAACATCCTTTCGGACCGTGCCATCAGACCTCTCTACACCAAGTTTTGGATCAGCATCAACTCAATCATACTTTTCAGCACCAGAGTGTGATTGTGATGACAATAATGGTCATAAATAATTCAAAACAAATTCCGTCAACACTCGAAAAATAAAGTATTGCATTTCAACAAATTTTTTCGCTTTTTTCATCATAACAAAATTCTTTGCAATTATTACAAATTACATTTTTTTTGTAAAACTTTATTTATTGAATTTCATTACGTATTAAGATGACAAATATTGAAATACCTGAAATTGAAGATAATTCTCTGGAAGAAAAAAGTAGGAAAAAATAAAAACCTGTCCATAATTTATGAAACAAATTCAATTACCTCACAAAATATGACACCAATGAAAATAAGTGCGAAGATATTTCGATTCATAATATTCAAAACTTTCACAAAATCTTCAAATTTTATATTTTTTTGTAGTGAAAAAGTTGTTGACACGTTAACATTTCACTGATTACTATAGTTTCCTTCGAAAGAGTTCAGACTTTTAATGAATATAGATTTCATTTGAGCATTGGCATCTGCAATCTTTAACAACAGTTTGTGTTGAAAATCATTGAATTTGAACTCGTTCGTTTTGTTTTGTTGATGTCGTAGCAATTTTTTTTTCATAATATTTAAGTATAAAAAAAACAATTGTTTGAAAGTTCTCAGTGTGACGCAATACAGCCATATACATTATCACATTTGAAACAATCAGACACTTGCAAGAATAATAATTCTTAATATCGCGTTGCCTCTCTCACTTTGAACAATATGAAAATTTTCAGCACAAAAAAATCAAAATAAAAACTATATATTTTATGTACCAACGATAGCTTAGCTGTCAGTGTTCAAATAAATGCCACAAGTTCAATTGATGTCATCTGAATTGTAACATAAATAATTTTTTATTTGTATTTTTGAATAAATAAATTCCGTCTTCCAAATTGATTGAAAATGTTTTGTGTTTTTGTAAAAGTTTGTGTATAAAAGAAAACATCAGACGACACACGACACTTGAAAAGAAATTTATTGTGAAAGGTGCTTCAATTCAATGTACTTTGAAACAGACTTTGGACAAAACGATGTTCGATCAAAAATTGTTTGCATTTTTCCTGGTTTGGTTTGTAATATGCCAGGTAAAGTTGATGTATAAAATAACACTTTTTCATATTGTTTATTCACAAGAAGCGAAGAAACTTTTTTAATTTACAACTTTTTCCCTAGATCTTTGTTACAAATGTGAATGCTGGTGGTTCACCGAAAAAGAGTGGAAAACCACCGAGACCGCCGAAGACATTTGGTCAAATTTTGGCTGAACCATCCTCATTTCGCAAACCAAATCCACCAGATGTTGATAAAGACGGATGGCCTTTGGGATTGCCAGCTGTATCACAAATAGTTCGAAACTCTAAATCTGGCCCACAAAACGAGTTGGCAGATGAATTTGGGACGCCTCGCTCACGTTTATCTTCACTATCGGGATCGGATGCATCTTTTCAATCAGCTTTCTCTACACCTACTAGCAGAAATGACGAATTTGAATCTGGTCGAACGCATTTGTCGTCAGTACCAAGTTTTGGATCAACTCAATCATACTTTTCTGCACAAGAAGAGTGATGACTATAATGGTCATGCCTAAATAATCCAATCTCAAAAATTGTCATCATGTAAAAAAAATTCAAAATAAAATAATATCATTTAATTTACACAATTAAATATCGGCTCAAATTCATTGCTTTATTTCGTGAAGTATCAAATGGAATTTATTGTTTTTCACATACCAACAAATTCATATGAGTCATATGTATATACTTGATAGATTTTTGAAAAAGAATACTGCTGTTATAATTGTGAGAATCTTCGAATATTATTCCTTCATCTAGCTGTCATACAATAACAACTGTCGTATTTAAATTACGTACTAAAAATAGGTCAGTAGTATTTTAGTGATCCAAGATGTGAAAAAACAAAGTCATGTTAATTTGATAATTGCCAAAGAAGGTATATATTGCGTAATTCGCTTTGTTAAATGATATTTCCAAAAAACATTTCCCTATATTATAGACATCCTTTCACGATCAACGTCTCCCACCATGATCGATTGACAGCGTAGTTTCAAAAATGCGTTGTGTAAACAATATTACATTGTTCGCGTTGGTAATAAACCTGTACAAATTTCCATATAAAAGCTTCATAAATAATCGACGTGTTTTAGTTTCTATCTATCCTGGTCTAGAAGTGATCTTATTTCCAACTCACAAAATGAAGCTACTTTTATTTTTGACATTATTGTCATTATCTTTATTAAACCAGGTAATATTTTTTATGAAACGTCTATTTGAAAAGTTTGATTTATTAAAATTATTCATACGTTAATCTTTACTGTTCATCCGAACCGCATCTCCAAAAACGAATATTCTCCTCGAATAGACTTAAAGCCAGTGTATGTACTTTTTTTATTTCAGCTCACATTTGTCAGCGGTAATCAAAATGATCCAAATGCGCCAGCATACACAACATTGCTGAATAAATTAAGCAAAAAAAACTAAAAACAAAGATTTGCTGGATAGTTTTAAATCGGTTATAAAAATTCAAAAAGATGTTCTATCAACAGCTGAGTCATCGGAATGGTTAGATGTTGATTTCAATAATGGTCAACCCGTCATGAACGAAATTCGTAACAGTAATTCCCGACCAAAGGATTGGGTAAATTTAATGACTAATCATATCGGCAACGTAGAATTTGTGCTTAAGAAAATGCTTGGCCCAGCAAAGGATGACATTCGCAAGGAAACAAATGCAGAAATCGACCATCTTGTTAGTGAACGCAGTTTAATTGACAAATATACCAATAAGGTTTATAAATTTGTTATAACCGAACCAAAGATCAAAGATATAAATGGATTCGAAGGAGCACTTGCACAATTTGATGGTAAAAAAATTGATGCAAAACATCTCAAAAAAATCGGAAATCATTTAACATCGATGCAAAACACTTATAATCAAGTAATAAATAAGTTGACAGATAAAGTGCCAGCAGCAGTCACCATCAGAAATGAATATTTGCGCATAGCTGCTGTACAAAATATCAGACAATGCGGTAGCCTGAATTCGCTTCGTTACGTCGTTTCGAGTCTGTTACAAAAACAAGATGCATTAAAAACGGTTCTCAATGAAATATGTACTATTTTGAATGATTATGACAATCAAAGAGTTAAATTGGCTGCAACCATAACTGACTTTCCAATTCAAAGTTTTATTAAAAATTAATAGATATTTTTTTAGAAATAATTAAACACAGTGGAATACAGATTGGATTGAATTGATGTTTTGAAAATTGTTTAATATTTGCTTATAATAAACTGAATTGAAATCTTTTTTCCTTCATTTGTTCGCCGTTTTTTTACATGCATTTTTTTGATCACTATCATGGTATGTTTGCCATGCGCTGCAAAATTTTTGTAAATACGTGAATCCCATTCAAATATTGTTCAACCGGTAAAAATTCATCGTTTTCGTGGTCTCGGTTTGGTGTATTAATAAATGGCGTAAATCCAATCGCCGGTATTTGAACCTGATTATTAATTTTATTGAATTAAAATCAACTCAACACTGGTTTCTTTTTACTTACATTTCGCACGAACCAAATGTCAGTGTTTCCCGGCATAACAGTGGTTTTGAATTTGACATTCCTATTGAAAAGTACAAAAATTTAGCAACGTCAAAAATAAAATAGAGAAATCGTCGTTACAGATCGTCGGTTAATGCTTCTTTCATTGCCATCCAATATTTGTTAGTTTCATTCAAATGAGTCACAGTGCTTGCAGAATTATCATCTCTGTATAGAAATTCAATTTCAATACCTCCGCCAGCCTCGTTACACCAATCGACCAACTGAAATTTTCCATTGATTTAAACGGTGATTTTAGAAGATTCGAGTCCGTTCCACATGATAAAGTGAATAACCTGTTTTTCGAATGCCTTTAAATCCATGTCTGGCACCAATCGTATATCAAACGTTGCCGAGAACGATGTCGGTATGACGTTGAATAATTTACCACCGTCCAAAATTGTTAAGTTCACACACGATACATCGCCTTCTTCGAGCGTTGGATCACTTTCCAATTTGTCGACTTGAGTCTTTCGAAATTCGTACATTTTTTGCGTAATAAATGACAATTTCTCACCAGGTGTGTCTTTGAATAGAATAATTAGGAGAATAATGTAAAAGAAAATATAATTATATTAGTATTTAATACACTGGGTTGCTGCAAAACACGTATCACTGGCGCCCTCACTGTATTGCATAGTGAAGTAACTCAATAGTACGTGTGTGAAATGTGAAGATTTTTTTCTCGCACGAACTAGATGGCGCTAATAACTAAGTGTCTTTGCAGCAATGGTGTGATTTAATACCTTTGAATAAAATCGATCCGTGACCCGTGTGTCCCGAACACTTGAAGACGATTTCTGTTTTGAAGCATTTGTGGAATTATTTTAATTTTTATAAATTCAAAAAGTGTTCAACTCTCTAGTGACAATTTAATCTCAACATACTCCAATTGCTCCGTTCTCCGTAGTAAATGCGATAAGTATCATTTTCTGTGGTACATCCTTCATCAATAGCAAATCCAATATTTAATGATTTAAACACGTCGTGATGTACAAATTGTTTCATGCCAAACCATGCGTCCGTTTCCTCATCTGGAACGTACGTCAAATGTAGTGTTCGTTCCAGAGTTTGGCCAGATCGTTTCAAAGCCCTAATCGTAGCCAAATAAAGTACGCCCATTGATTTCATGTCTTGGGCACCACGTGCGAAAATGTGACCATTTTCATCGATATCAGCACCAAATGGTGGATGGGTCCAATACTCTTCGAATACAGGAACTACGTCCATATGCGAATTCAACATAATCGAAGGCAAATTTGGATTTCGACCTATCCAACTAATGACAACGATGGGTGATGTTTCATTGAACAAACGATACACATTAAACACCAGATTCAATGATTCCGCTTGACGCTTAAGAAATTCCACACAAGGTTCTGAAAATTCGTCAACATTTTTCTTTTGTATAAATTTACATATCATGGTTATAATGCAATATTACCATAGTCAATGTTTGGATGAACGCTTGGAATTCGCAAATACTCCTGAAGAATTTTTATTTCTTCGTTATTCTGCCAATTATTCGACATGTTAGAAAAGAAAATTATGTAAAAAAATATTAAAATTATTTTTTTTCACTCCAGCAACACTTTATTGACAGTACTCCGATACTTCAACACTAGATATTGTCTCAAATAAACGAAGCTCTACCAAAAAATCTTTGAGAAAATTATTATCTTAAATGATAGTGTTTCTACTTGTTATCTTTGCGGTTAAGTAAATTTACATTGTGTTTAGAATGTCATTTATCATCAAAACCATTAAAGAAATTATTTTACAAGATAAAACCCAGATTTTAGGACCACGATGAGAACAATGTTTGTTTTAGCATTCAACCCACATGCAAATTAATTTATTTATACTCAAAAATTTTGATTGAAATTTGTTTCATACTAGATAAAATGGAATTTTGGGAAAAAATATGTAAAAAAACAAAATAATTTTTCACTAGACTTGAATCAAAATTTGAAATGAAAATACATTAACTTGGCATGAATATAATTTGTTTCGTATACAAGAATCAAAGATTTTTTCGGAAGGGAATTTTAAATTTTTCATCAGAGAGATAACAGAATGTTTTTAGTCAAAATGATATCTTTTTCAAATACATAATGGAACTTTTTGACCCAAAGAAAAAAAAACTTTATCAATTTGACATAAAATAGATAAAATGTTTCTCAAGAATACGATATCATGTGGTTAATTAAAAATAGATGTTTCAATAACAATAATAATAATAAAGAAAACGTTTAGACGAAAAGTGATGCATTGAAGAATGATCGATTTTCGATCGATTCAAAACTATCAAATATTGCCAATTTTCTCGATCAATTTGGTATAAATTGAAATTCCAGTTAGATATGTATCAGCAGATACGTATTCATCGTTATCGTGTAGCAATACTGGTGTATTTGACAATGGACTGAAACCAAGTGCTGGTATTCCGACCTAATAAAAAAAAAACGGCAGACAATTTAAACATATGTGGGTTTTATTCTGAGTAAATTTAAACGATGATAAAAAAATTAGTTTGAAGTCACTGTTTACCTCGCGAATATAACAGCTGTCAGTGCGTCCGGGGAACACGAGTGGTTTGATTTTCAAGTGCCTATTAAATTAAATGATAGCGCTAAGTTAGTTGCAAAATGCAAGTAATTCGTAATAAATATAATTTATACATCTATCATGAATACGTACAAATCATCAACAAGTGTTTCACGAAAAGCCTTCCAAAACGGATTGTTATTATCAATGCAAGTGGGTTGAATTTTCGGTCTTTTTTGAACGAAATTGACCTCAATGTCACCACCAGCTTGTTCACTCCAAGTACGAAGCTGTAAACCATACATTAGTCACCATATTAGACTATAATCATTTATATTTACCTTTCCTTCAAACGCATCATGATCGACGTCAACGGCTAAACGGCAATCAAAAAGAGCTGTCAACGACGATGGAACGACATTACTTTGAACGCCTCCATGTAAAATAGTCAAATTTACTGTCGTAACGTCGCCAATACTAAATTCGGGATTATTTTTTAATATTTCCACTTGTTCAGCTCGAAAGTCCATCATGTTATCAAGAATATGTCGCATTTTTTCACCAGCTGTGTTTTCAAGTAACAATGATCCGTGGCCAGTTGTGCCGTGGCAAATAAAATCAACTCTCCATACACTCCGTTCGGCATAAAATACTGGGAACACTTCATCCGGTGATGCAATTCCTTCATCCAATGCAAAACCAACATTCAATCGACGAAACGCTTCAGTTTTAACAAAAAGTCTCATTCCTTTATCACCACCAATTTCTTCGTCTGATAGAAATGAAACGATTATTTCTTTTACACTGATAACAATGTTTTTAATGGAATTTTTACCTGGTACATAAATCACATGAAATGTACGCTTCAAACGTACACCTTTATCTTGTAATCTTTTGATCGCACCCAAATATTGCATACCAACCGACTTCATATCTTGTGCGCCTCGTGCAAAAATGTTGCCATTTTCATCCATTTCAGCGGCAAATGGTTGATGCGTCCATAGATTTTCGTATACAGGCACTACATCCATGTGTGAATTCAAAACGATCGATGGTAATGATGGATCGGCTCCTTCCCATGTTATGACAGCGATCGGCTTTGTCTCATCATATGGATAGTGAAGCTCAATGGGCAGGTTAAGTTCATCTGCCTGCTTTTTCAGAAACTCAATACATTCGACTGAAATCAAAGCAAATGGAAAATTCCATCAATTCGAATAACAATTTTGAAGATCTCGAAATATTAAAACGGTGCAATATTTTTATATAAATATTTCACGAAAAGAACTGTCTGGTACCGTAGTTTATATTCGGTTGAACGGTTGGAATGCGTAAATAATCGCGAAATCTCTGAATCTCCGGATTTGATTCCCACTTATTCGACATGATTATTACAATTTCTCTTGAATGTTCGACAGCAAACAATTTCTTGTTATTGCAATGGCGTCAAAGACTCGACTAAACAGTGTTTACAAAATATGCAACTCTAGACTGTATGCTTATCACAACATTCATATGTACGTTTCCATCGACGATTTAAATTGATTAAATCCGGTTTGAATGCGGTGCGTCTTCGTCGAACATAGCAGAGAGATAATAATACATTCAGACTTAAACACATATTGTTGACATAATCATTTGGTTTTTTTTTGTATGGCAATCTCTGAACATGAACGTGAACAATAAAGTCAAACAGATTTCTCTATCCATTGAAAAGATAACAACGTGCGCAAATTGTCATAATATTATAAAGTGATTAACGATTAATTGTGTGCCGCTTAATAGAACAGTATTCATTTAGATAGCGATTGAATAACACAAGTAAATCCAACGAAATGGCTTGCAACAAAGAAGATTGGGCTGAAAATGATGAAATCAAAATTTTTCGAGAATACTTACGAATTCCAAGCGTGCATCCAAACGTTAACTATGGTTAGTTACAATTTAATTTATAGATTTTGTGAAATGAAATTGGTACAGTATGATCTAATTTTGAATTGTGTTCATTGCTGCAGAACCATGTGTTGGATTCTTGAAACGACAAGCGGCCAATTTAAATCTTCCGATCGCCATTTATTATCCGGTTGATGACCAAAATCCAGTAGTTGTGATCACATGGAAAGGCTCACAGCCAGAATTGCCAGCAATCATGTTGAATTCACACATGGATGTTGTTGCTGTCACCGAAAAATACTGGACTCATCCACCGTTTGGTGCTGATATTGATGATGAAGGTCGCATTTTTGCGCGTGGCACTCAAGACATGAAATCCGTTGGAATGCAATACTTGGCCGCCATTCGAGTCTTAAAACAAAACGGCATTCACTTGAAAAGAACAATTCATGTCATCTATACTCCTGATGAAGAGACCGGAGGTTATCGTGGAATGGCGAAATTTGTTAAAACGCATGATTTTGCTGCATTGAATGTTGGATTCTCATTGGATGAAGGGATCGCATCATCAGATGAAGTGTTTCCAATATTCTATGGTGAACGTTATGTTTGGGGTAAACAAATTAGAATTTTTTTCCTTGTACTTCTTCCGAGTTCATTTTTGTAATTTACTTTAAGCAATACTTATCAAGTGCCCTGGAACATCTGGACATGCATCTTTGTTCCATAAAAATACGGCAATGGAAAAAATCCAATTTTTAATGGAGAAATTTTTGAATTTCCGAAAAACTGAAGAGCAACGTCTAAAGAACAATCCCACATTTACAGCTGGGGATGTAACCACCGTTAATATAACAACTATTAACGGTGGAATTCAGCAAAATGTTGTGCCGCCTGAAGTAAAAATGTCGGTCGATATTAGAATGGCCGTCGATATCGATTGGAAACAATTCGAACAAAACATTTTTGAATGGTGCAAACAGGCTGGTGAAGGCGTTGAAGTTGAATTTATTCAAAAATTACAACGCATCGAACCGACCAAACTGGATGCAAACAATATGTATTGGATGACTTTTAAGAAGGTCCTCGTGGATGATCTGTGAGTTCATTTATCAAATAAATAGCAATTCTTACATTCATTTTTATTTTCTTGCAGAAAGTTCAAAATTAAACCACAAATTTTCCCGGGCGCAACGGACAGCCGACATTTACGCGAGGTATTCAATTTGACATGATTTTTTTTGTGGAACAAATGATAGATCATATTTATTCGATAGGTTGATATACCAGTAATTGGATTTTCTCCGATGAATCACACACCAGTATTACTGCATGAACATGATGAATTCATCAAAGCAAGCACCTATCTCGATGGAATTGAAATTTATAAGAAACTATTGATCGAAATCGCCAATCTTTAATGGAAAATTAATTAACTATTATTCGAAAATGGTACTTGTCTCGAGGTAACTCTAAACTCTAGTTTTTATTTACGTCCCATTTACAAATTTAATTACAGAGATTTTGTTTTGGATTTGTCAATCACTTCTCAAAACATTCTAACATTTCAAGCAAAAATATTCTCGACTTCCCAGATACTCAAATATGTTCTCCCTGATTGTTCGAGATGAAAATAATAATTATTTTGAAATACATAGGGCAAGTGGAATTTTGTCTTTTTAGTCTTTTTTATTTTCCTTCTTTAAAACTTTCTTCTTATACCTGCATTCCGAAAACTGCTTCAGTGTATCATTTCAAACCGAATATTTCGGTAATTAACTAATTACACATGAACTTTATTACCTCCTTATTACTTTTGCCACTTTTTTTTTCACAGAAAAATTATTGTAGTCAGAAGGGGGATGAAGAGAGATTAAAAAATGATGATGATAATGAGAAGCCGAAAAAACACAATGCATTTTCAATAACACTTAAGATTTTTTTTTCTTCGAATATTTGTATTCGTTTGTTCTTATATCAACTCCAAAAAAATTAATAAAAAAAAGTTTTGTTCAATTTTTGTTTTTTTTTTTTTATTTATCATATAAAAGTGATCACTGTATTTAAAAAAATGATTTTCAAGAATTGCTTGAAATATAAAGATTACAAAAAAAAGTAATTTTGCGTAAAAGAACGCTTCATTCTTGTTTGATTACAACTTCCAAGGGCATTCTGTAATACTCTTCATCGGAACTATCCATCTCTACAGGAGATATTTCATTTTGTGAGGTCGGTTGGTAACTGCCGAATTGTGTGCCATCGTCATTACTACCCATAAATTCGTGTTCATATCTATCTTCAACATGGGATTTACTAATTATTTCCATCAATTTTCCGTCATCTTCATCGTTATTAAGCATTTCCTCCAACATGGTATATTGTGAAATTATGTCCGATATCTGTTCTTTTAAAAACAGATTGGAGCCTCTATAAATTAAAAGACGTTTCTTGGCTTTCATGCGTGATTCCCTCGATTTTTGATTGTTTATCTTGCGAGCCTCGGCTTTTTCCGCTGAAACACCTTCGCACTTGATGAACTCCCGTGCTTTATTTGGGTGATACGTGGTATCTATTGGCTTCTCCGCCAACATTTTCGATATATATTTCAGTTGAAGATCGGCAGTACGAATTTTTGCCTTTTCACAATTTTCAAGAACTTCTCGAGGTAATTTTTCATATTCTTGACGCATTACCTTCTTTGCGATATTTTTATCTATAAAATCGTCGTTACGATTAACAGGTGTAGCAGCTCGACCTTTTTTTAATTCATTGATTCTTTGATAAATCATCGCATATGGTGGAATTTGAACAGCTCGAGTCTTTTTCACTTTTTGATTATTTTTTGATTCTAATTCATCGAACTTTGATGAAAACAAATCCATATCAGCTTTTGACTGATACAAAAGTGGCATGGTATAACCACTTTCATCTTTTGGAAAGTGTGACACACATTCACGAAGAGCATCATAGTCGCATGGAATGAGTGGGACCCGTGGAATGTCTTGCTCTGCCTCTGCTTTTTTTGCTTTGATGATGCCCTTATTTGATGATGTATTTGCCACTCTTTTTTGAGTTGATGTACCAGCCCCGCACTTTGGACTTGACGCAGCGTCCAAAGTTTTTTGAGTTGATTTAGTTGATGCTTTTCTTTGAGATGATGTACTTGGCTTACTTATTGGTGGTGGTTTGGTTAAAATTCCTTGCGTTGATGTACTTGCAGCATATTTTGAGCTCGCTATGACTGTTCCTACTCTGCTAGTTGATGGACATGTCACACTTTCTTGAGGTAATGTAGGGGTGGAGGCGCCTCCTTTACCATTTCGGCTCAAATCTGTTGCAATGTATTTTGGGCTTGTTTCTACGTATTTTCTTTTAGTGCCCACCACACTTATTGGTGCTAATTTGATCTTAGGAACTATTCTTATACTTGATGTGATCGTAGGCACTATTCTCATGGTTGACGTACTTGCCACACTTTTTGGTGTGGATATTGACGGAGTTTCTTGCAATGGTGTACTTGCTACGCATTTTGGACTTGGTTTGAACGACAATTTTGTTTTATTGACACTTGTTAGTGTTGGTATGGTGGAAATTCCTTGCGATGATGTACTTGCCATGGATTTTGAGCTCGCTATGACTGTTCCTAGTCCGCTAGTTGATGGACGTGTCACACTTTCTTGAGATAATGTAGAGGTGGAGGTGCCTCCTTCACCATTTTGGGTCAAATCTGTTGTAGCCATTTGAATTGCACCCGTTTTGATACTTTCCTGGCATGGTGCTGAATTTTCTTGATTTTCGGTTTTAATAATTTGAGTGTGTGCTGTATTGAATCTAATTACAGCAACTTGATTTGATCTTGGTTGTTCTTGAGGACTTAGTCTTGCCCTTTTAATTTTATGAACGTATTCCATTTTCACAAACTATTTCTTTATTTGCTCACAAAAATGCAAAAATGATAAATTTATTGATTTTCACAAGAATTTTTTGCGGGCTGTTTAGAATTTTTCACTGTCTGTTGAGCGTGGTGCTAAATTATATATTTATTCTGTGTGATGCCAGAGAAATCCAAATATCGAATGATTGATGTTCGGATGTATGCTCCTTTTATACCTGATTTGCCTATCATTAACATAATCACTTCTATATTACTAATGACAGAATGTAATTTGTCATCGTTCAAAACACACGCTGTAAAACGTACGTATCTTCATCAATGCTGGAGTATTTGTCATTACTCCTTTCCAAAGCAGAACGATAATGACAGCTGGCAACTTCACTGTGATCGTCTGTGTTTATGATTAGTGTCCAAAATTTGTTCAATTTTTATTTTTGCGCTCAGCCGCTCCAAAGGCGCTGCTGTCAACGTTGCTTGTCATCGTCGTGTTTTCTTCAGTTTTTCTTTCGCTAATTTCACCACGTAGTTCAAAACTAAGGTTCTCATATAGTTCAGATTAAAAAAAGTCCATTTGCAATTTTTTAATACAAAAATAATTAAAATAGAAAACAACATTTTTCATGTTTTCATGAAAAAAGTCTTTTTACTCATCTCACACATCTCTGTTGTCATAGCACATATGATTGCTCTAGAATAAAACAGCGTATTAAATGGTTGCATATCAAAGCGAAACAAGACGTTTTTTTACATAGATTTGTGTTGTAGTTTGTATGAATTACAGCAACAAATCTATATGAAAAAAAAACGTCTGGTTTCGCTTTGATATGCAACCATTTATTATGCTGTTTTTATTCCAGAGCAATCATTTGATGCTTGTGCCTACGTATTGTTGTTTCAAATGGATTCATTTTTATTCCCCTCTAAAACTACTATAGCGATTTTAACTATTACTAATAAATGTTTGAAACAAGTATGGAGAATTACCGCAGCACGAGTATTAAACAATCGGCAGAACCTCGAATTACTAGATAACAATACGATTACTCGAAAAAAAAGGTTTACAGATTACAGAAAATATTTCTTTCGAAAGAGAATATTGTTTCTCTGTGAAACATAATGTTGGTGTACCTATTCATAATCAACTATTTGGTATTTAACAAACACATTCAAAACAGTGAGCATCATTGCCACAACAGTTTATGTAGTGTACACTTTATATAGTGGAGTATTCATCAAAATATTTAAAAATTTCAATCAATCGACCTATCTACAAAATAAAGTATTAGTACAATGATATTTTTTGATTGTTAATTTTTAGTCGGCCTGCTTTTCGTACGCGTATACTTAATGTATATAACACCATTCATGTCGCTACATGTTTTGATATGATTTCAGTTGTATTATATGTGTATATTCTGAGTGCGAATTACTTTTATTTAATTTCGATAAACACTATATTTTTCATGTTAATATTATTATTAAATGTGCTGATTTTTTTCCAATTCTTTATAAATTATATATTTGGTGGCCCTGAAAAGGGCCGATTTTGG